TTAGTGTTTCAGAAGTAGAACTATTGTTAAATTAGCTTGTTTCGACTGCTGCCACCGCTTCTGCAGCAGCCTCCCTTTAAACAGAAGCAGACCGGCGTCTTGTTCAGTTGCAGCCTGACATAACAAGTTGACCTTGGTCTGTCTCCTGCCTTCAGCATTGTTCTCTGTTTCTCTGACGTACATTACAGCTCCCTTTTCTCTCTTTAAGTCCGTTTTACTAAACTTTTCTCACACACACTCACTAATACACTGTGCTCGTCTTCCCTGGATGTTTAGTTTGCTTTTAATCACCACATCCAAGAGGGGGAATCCTTTCTCAAATTAAAAACAGGTTGAGGTTTCAAAGCGGTTACGAAAACAGGCAGTTTAACATCAGTTAGTCGACTGACAGGAAATTAATCACCGACTGCTCTGACAATGAAACCAGCACTTAACTCATTTTTAGAGCAACTGTACTGAAGACTTTCTAATATCTTCGTACACAGCTGGAAGAATCTGCTTGGAGTTTAGAAAAATGTGACGAATGTTTTTCACCTCAAAAAGACGGTTACAAAAAAAAAAAAAGAAAAATACAAAAATGTCACGGTGGCAATAATACTCATCACTGAACAAGCTGTCAAACAAGCAGCGCTGCTGATGTCATGGTCATGCCCCTGAAACATTTTCATTTACTTGAAGCACTTTTTATGATCCTTTTTCGAGGAGTAATTCTCTGTAAGTTCAATCCTCAGCCTGGGAAATGCCAAGCGGGACCAGCTCCAGTTGTTGTCCGACCATGTGTGTTTGCTCGTGGGAACCAGGCCGCCGGGATTTAAAGGAACTTTCTGTTACGTATGTGAGAGTGATGCAGAAAACAATCGTCAAGGCCAGATGTTGTTATTTGATGGGGGGATGACACAGGGCCGGGGTCAGAGGTCAAAACACACACACACACGCACACACACACACACACACATGCTCCCTCCTGTTTTCTTTCCTCGTAGCGTGGGAATTGGCCGAGGGGCCTCCAACATGACACCAGGAAGGAGGCGAGAGGTGAGGAGGAGAGGAGGAAAACACACCAGGGAACGCTTTATGAATGTGCATGAGTGTGTGTGCGTTGTAGGTCAAAACCATCCCAGTGAGGACATTTCTGCATCTGAGGACACACTGGCCGGCCGGAGGAAAACTTCAAAGGGTTGACTGAGGGTTTGGGCCTCAAGGTTCAGATCAGAGGTACGGATTACGTTAGAGTTATCCAATTAACCGTGAT